CTTTTTACTATTAGGTGAAAACAGGTGGAGAACCTTAGTTTTTGGAAAACGTGACTTTTCGTTATTTTTTAAAGTCTTTTTCTAAAATTAAATATTATCACAAGATTCGCATGATTGATTATCCATAGTCCACCCATTTCTGGGATTATCAATAGTCGCGGGACACCAGTTCTACAACTCGAAGGAAATTCGATGCCATACCCGAATCACTGGAAATTAAAGTCTTGCTTGACTCCCATTTTGAAAAGGACACTCCACGCAATTAACTTATGGAGTAAAATCCATATAATTCTATTGCAAAAGTTTTGATATACGACCAGGTTTCTCAAAGATTCCTGCAAAACTTGTCTTAGAAAACTCTGCTGAAAACTGTCATTTTATGAAAACATGCCTCCAAGTCTCTTTAGTCAGTCGACTCAGAGATTCCGACTCGCTTCCTTAACGAGTTTACCAGCTAATGAATACCTATTGGCTGATTTTGCAAAACCTGAATGAAAAAATTTGATGACTCCTGTTCTTCTCCTAAGCTGCTCATAATAGTTGAGAGCTGCTGTCAAATAAGAAAGCGGCAGTGGTAGGTGTGCACTTTAATTCAAACCACTATACAATTCAGTGAAACATAAATCATTTATGCTTTACTGCTGCACTTTAATTTTTTTATGGAGGTTCACAGTCTGGACGATATTGTACTTTCGAGGTTGGCAATAGTCACCAGGTAACAGTCCTGGAATTCAAAGGAAATACTCGAACTGCGGAAATCAACGCCACGTTTGACTTCCATTTTGAAGAGGACGCTTTGGGCTGTGAAACGTGGATATCATTGACTACTTTTATTTTGAATGGCGTAAATCGAAGCGCTCTAGCTACTTTCTGGCAAAAGTTATTGCATGGCGGTTTTTGGCATTCTGTTTTTCTTATAATTGTTAAACGTCGAGAAGCTCAGAGATCTGAAACTACACAGATAAAGAGAGAAGTGTGCGGAAGATCTTGAGAAGTTCTCGCCATCTACAGAGTCTTCAAAAACCATAACGAAAATACGAAGAAGATGCCAATAAAATGGAGATGAAAGAAAGACGAAAATAGAAAAACAAAAATTCCAGCAAAAACACATAATGTCTGTCGACATAATAAGCAAAATAAAAGCAGAAAAAGAAAAACGCGATTTTAGCGATATATACAGTAGACACTCAAATTTAAGCATAAATATGTACTTTTGATCATCAAATTTTCCAGCATGCATCTCACATTTTTATTTCTTCTTTTATTCTCTTTCGAGAAAGTTGGTCTAGGTTATCTCGATAATCACATTTAATTTAATTATTATTCAGTCTCCAAGCTCTACTCATTAATTAGCCTGAGCTCTAATTAAAAAGGTAAACGCTGAGAACTTTTCAAATATTTCCAATTACCCCATTTGAGGCAATTGGAAACGTACGTGAAAGTTAGTGGGGTAAATGGAAACGACCATATAGAATAGCTAGAAAGCTAGGAATATTCTTCTCTTCAATCTTATTTTCAATATTCTTCTCTGCAATCTTAGAGAAACTCTCACTCGTTTTCATTCAGAAATAACGAAATAAGCGTGTTACACGAGAAAGTTGGTCTAGGCTATCTCGATAATCACAGAATCAAACTTTATGAAACTCGGCGCCTAAGGGTTTCTCAGCGTTCTCTTTCTTTTCTTCTCTAGAAAGTTTTCTCCAAAACTCTTGGAAGTAGGGTTTTCTAGAAAACCGTAATTTCTGAACTACTTGTACTTCTTAAAACGATTTTTAAAAATCACTCTTAAGACATGAAACATTGTTAAAGACATTTTTGAATTCAGCGTCGAAAGGCGAAGATTTTGAGAAAAAAATCAAGTTTTGAGTTTAATTTGAAATTTAAAAAATTCAACTTTTTTAAAAAATGAACTAGCTAAGTTCAGCTAAGAGATTGAACCTTGGTTCAAAGGTGGCTGGATAGCGAATCAAAATCTAACCAAACGTAGGGGTTAGTGAGAGTTTCTCTAAGATTGCAGAGAAGAATATTCTGCATCTTTTTATCAGCGCAAACCTTTTTGTAAGAGGTGTTCTTCGAGTAGAAACTGATTTCCAAGAAACTCCTAGCTTTCTAGCTATTCTATATGGTTGTTTCCATTTACCCCACTAACTTTCACGTACGTTTCCAATTGCCCCAAATGGGGTAATGGGAAACATTTGAAAAGTTCTCAGCGTTTACCTTTTTAATTAGAGCTCAGGCTAATTAATGAGTAGAGCTTGGAGACTGAATAATAATTAATAATTGATCTATTTACCTGTACAAAAGTTATTAATTTGTGTCATTGGCTTAACGAGAAAACTGTTTTTTACTAATGAATTATTTACCGTGTAAAATACATGGCGGATCCAATTACCCCATCAATTTCTATTGTTGTTTCCAATTGCCAGAGTGGAATAATTGGAAATGTTCATTAGAGCTTTCAGCAAAGCACCGGGAAGTTCGCCTGCGACATGGAGTTTTTGACAATTGTTAGATAGCCTTATAGAGAACTTCCTTCTCTACCTACCTGTAAAAAGGGCGCAAAAAGATAATTAAAATTAACAAATTTATACGAAGTCCAAAGAGCAAAAAATTGTTTCCAATTGCCCAGTTTACTATAATGTGTTAGGATTTCTATTGTGTTACAACGCGATAAATTTAGAAAAAACATACCTTTAATACATTAGCGTAATGCGTTACGTGAAAAAAGCTGCTAAAAAATTGAAATTATAGTGTTATAATATATTTTTGTGAACGACTTTCTCATATTTTATAATGTTACAACGCTATAAATTCGACTAACGTGTTAATATTTTGTATACCGTTACAAGGTGTTACTAAATTCCTATCGCAGTATAACGCGTTACAGGTTAATGTTGGTGAATGTTAATGGAACGATACGGCTATAATATTTAATAATATCTAACGTTATAAATTTATGGCATTACAATGCATTAACTCTTGTCAAACGTCTTTTGAGATCTGTTGTAAATGAGATATACAATAGCTTAAATATTCCACATTCTAAAGTTTGGAACTCGCTCTGATGTATTTTGACCGAATAGTGAATTTTTTAATATTAGGCGAAAATCGTAATTTTCGTAAAAGTCCCTTTTTCGCTAGATTTTTTTATAAAAGCAAATACTGCCACGAGACTCAGCATGATCGATTACCTTTAGTCCATTAGCTTTCAAAGCTACCAATAGTCATCAGGTGGCAGGCCTGGGTCTCGTAGAAAATCCGGTACAATGTTAGAGCCGTAGAAAATCTAGGTCTCACTTGACTCCCATTTTCAAGAGCACATCCCGGACTATCAGCAATTGAAAAAAACCGACATAATCCTATTGAAAAATTTTTACACAAGATCTGCTTTTCCAAAGATCTCCTAAAAAGCCTGTTTCAGAAAACTCTTCTGGAATTAATTCTGCTTGTGGAAACATGTTTTCAAGTCTTTTCTTTTGCGTGGAGAAAATCGAAGCTCTTTAGCTATTTTCTATCAAAAGTTATTCATAAAAGATCCCGTGCTCTTGTATTTTGAAACGGATAGTAGTTCGGCTTGTCCAAACGTAACGGCGTTACGTTTTGAACGTACTAAAATGAAATTATCTCGGAAACTAACATAGTTGAAAAGCTCATTTAAACGCCATTCGATGCAGCTCGTCGACCCCCATTTACGGTATAAAAGTGAAATTTTTTGGATGAAGTCTCGAATTTTGAGAACGGTTTTTGTAGGCCGTAACGGCGTTACGAAAAAAGACCCTTTTTTTCGAATGCTATCAACAAAAACGTGAATTCCGACAAAGGTAAAGGTCATAATGAAAAATTTTTAGCACAGAAATTGTAGAGCACAGAACGGTCTATCCGATGGTAAAAATAGGATTTTTCCAACATCTTCAGTTAAGGCAAAAATATCAAAACATAAACGTAACGGTGTTACGCACTATTTTTGTCGAGTGTTTTTAAGGGACCTAATATTATCAGAATGTACAAATATGTACAAATTTTCTAAAGTGCTGAAGCTCAAAACCAAATACGCCATTTTGTAGAGAATTAAATTTTCTACGAAACTATATGTTTAGAAATTTATTTTTCGAAAACTTTCTCGGCTAAAAATAGAAAATCCGATTTTTGAAATGTTCAAAAACCGTTTTTGCGACTCAAAAACCGTTTTTGCGACTCAAAAACCAGTTTTTATCAAAAAAGCGTTTTAAACGGGTTCTTAGAATTACAAATTACATGTAGTGATGTATTCAAAAGTTTCGAAAGCGAAAATACTTTTTTTATAAACTTGATCAGCGAAGTGTCGCGTTACGTGGACAAGCCGAGTTACACAGCTAACCCTTAGAAAGACACGCTGTTAAAAAATCACTCTGAAGTAACACATTATACTTTAATAATGTCTATATACAAACTAATTTTTTCTGATTCTTGTACAATATAAATATATCATAGAGCATATAATCGTTCGCATGTACATAGAAAAAAAGGTAAATTTTGCTCCTTTCTCTCTCTCTCTCTCTCTCTTTTCCTTATCATGTCCACGACACAGCTTGCGAAGGAAAGCTGTTTCAATTTTTTGTCTCAAGAACACGTTTTATAACGGCAAAACAAAAAAAAGTAAAATAAAATAAATATGTGCACATGTTTGTATATGTAGAATAATGAAAGTAGAGCCGATTTCAGTTAGTCTTTCGTTAGGTCTCAATAGAGTCATTGATGTATGAAAATATTAATATATAATAGTTTTTTTCTTTTTTTTTATTATCAAAAATAGATATCCAAATTTTGACAAATAAATACAGTTACAATGGATTATTAATCAACGTAGTATAGAAGAACAGAAAGATATTAATTCTATTTTAATTTATTTGCTAGGTGAGATACCATCAGACAATATGTAAATAACATAAGAGAGTATAATAAAATTTCATATATTATTTTAAAATATTTTTCTTTCAGATTAATAATATTATTTGAGAATAATGGCTACTGTGATTCTCTACTATCTTTCTTATGTTCTATTTCTCTTATTATGCGAATGTAATGGTAATCTATTTGAAGACAAAAGAAGAGAATTATTAAATTATATCTTGTCAGAACATTTTCAATATTCTTTATCGATGCATACAAAATTAATATATGATACAGGTGATGATTTAAGTGAAACAAATGGTGAAATTGATATTGAATTATTAAATAGTTTAAATCAAATTGATATACATAATATGCCGATAATTGATGATTATTCGAATAATGAACAAGCACTTGAATGGCTAAATTGGTATACGAAAATTATAGAACGTTATAATCAAATATCCGCTGTTTTATCATGGAATTTTTTGACAAATATTACGAAAGAAAATGAACAACGACAAACACAACAAGAATTAATTACAAGTCCATTTTCACGAAAAATGTTGACCATCATTCACAAATTATATCCTCTAATTTTAATAGTATATAAAATTTTCATTTTTTCAAACAATCATTTCCGAATAATTAATTACCCATTATTAAACATTTTAATCAATATATGAAATATTCTTCAAATTTTGATTTAAAACGTGTTTATGGTCGTTTAGCACTTGGCACAGTGATCAAAGATGATCGTATAATTGAAAAAGTATCAGTACTTCATTCGAAAATGGAAAATATTTATTCAACTTCGACTGTATGCGAAATTATAAATCCGAAACAATGTCATCCATTAGCACCGGATCTTGAAGAATTAATGCATGTAGAAAAAGATTATGATACTCTTCTATGGGCATGGAAAGGATGGCACGATAAATGTGGAAATCAAATTCGTCCATTATATCTCGAATATATTGATTTATTGACAAAAAATATTCAAGAAAATGGTTTTACTGATTTAGCTCAAAATTGGATTGATGATTATGAGATGGATCATGGTTTTGAAGAAATGCTCGATAAACTATTACAAGATATATTGCCATTATACACACAAATACATGCTTATGTAAGAGGAAAATTGTGTCAAAAATATCCGAAAAAATTTGATTGTAATGGACTAATACCAGCTCATCTCCTCGGTAAAAAACAACAACAACTTGAACTCATATCAATAGAATTTTTACATATTGTCTTTTTTTCTTGTCTTTTATCAGGTAACATGTGGGCACAACAATGGAATGATCGTCTTGATGATGTTTTACCCTATCCAGAAACTCCATTAGCAAATATGACAAAAATTTTATTGGAAAAAAAAGTGACCATTCAGGAAATGTATCTTATTTCTGAAAACTTTTTTACATCGATTGGTATGAGTGCAATGACAAAAAAATTTTGGACAAAATCTATGTTTAAAAAACCAAAAGATCGATCAGTTCTATGTCATGCATCGGCAAGTGATATGGCTAATACGGATGATTATCGAGTGAAAATATGTACAGAAATCAATGATGATAATTTTTACACAGTTCATCATGAAATGGGTCATATTGAATATTTTATGGCGTATGATAAGGTACAACCGATTGTTTATCGTGAAGGAGCAAATTCAGCATTTCACGAGGCTATTGGTGATACAATAGGCATGTTTGTTCTCTCACCTACACATCTCATAAAATTAGATTTTATTAGTGAAGATATAATTAATGAAAAGTATGAGATGAACTTTTTGATGCGTATGGCACTTCAAAAAGTGGCCTTTCTTCCATTTGCTTATGTTATGGATAAATTTCGTTTTGCTCTATTTCGAAATGAAATTGATCGTTCAAAATTGAATCGTGTATGGTGGAATATGCGTTTAAAATATGGTGGTCTTATGCCACCAGTTGCACGATCAGAAGAAAATTTTGATCCAGGTGCAAAATATCATGTAGTGTCAAATGTACCTTATACACGCTATTTCCTTGCACACATTCTTCAGTTTCAATTTCATCGTTCTCTTTGTCAAATTGGAGGTCAAAATGAACTACCATTACATTTATGCGATATATATCAACAAAAACATGTCGGTACTCGCTTTCGTCAGATGCTAGATATGGGTAATTCACGTCATTGGTCTTATATATTAAAGACTCTAACAGGCGAAAGTACATTCACATCAGAAGCTATTTTAGATTATTTTCAGCCACTTCATAAATGGATTAAACAGGAAAATATTCGACAAGGATACCCTGTTGGATGGTAAGAAGGTAACATATTCATTTTTTATGTGCAATTTTTTCATCTGTGATAGCTTTACATAGTTAGTGAAGACCTACAATCCGACCCGAACCCGGCTCGATCCTAGGATGGAATCGGATTCGGATTGAACATTTTGCGACGGAATTTAAAATATAGATAATAATTTCGGTTTTGTATTACCCGTTGAAAAGTTAACTCTATTGAAATTTTCAGCTGAAATACGTATTTCAGAACACCTGCATTCATTAACGAGGCTAGGTCTTCAGATGCTCAACTCCGTTTTTAATGATATTTGGTCAGTTAATAGAGGAAAGTGAGCTGATAAAAACTCTTAAGGAGGAGTCATATCAGTCCTTTTAAAAGTAATGAAATTTTTTGTTCTAAAGGAACACTGCGTGTAGTACACGCAGTATTACTGTTAAACAGTAATAATTCTCAAAACAAAGAATAAGAAGTGAAATTTTCTTTTGTATTTTTGCTAAGCCTGCTAGTATTACAGAAAATTTGAGTGTTATATCTTTCTAAATGCGCTTGTTATTGTACTTTTCTTCTTGAAGAAAAACAATGTTTTTCCAAACCGCACAATTTTCAATGATAATATTTCTTTTTTATTAAAGGTGATATTGCGTGCATTTTTCCCTGCTGAAAACATTCTGGTACGGAAAGAAAACAAAGAAATGATCCGCTTTGTCACATGCGTGATTTCCTGTTTGTGAGACAAAGAAAAACGAGAGAACCAACTAGAGAATTCTTGCTGGAAGATCGGAGAGTCGACTTTTTTTCGGAAAAATAATGTTCTTCTACGGGATATTATTTATATTATCATATCAGCTGGTTCAATCACCTATCAAAACTTCTGCTGTAGTTTTCATCGCATCAAGCACGACAGTATATGTTCACTATGCAGGATACCCGCTATACAGATAGGTAAAAGAAGATATAACTTAAGAACAAAACAAAAAGAGTAAAAATTTGTCGGCTCGAGTTCGGGTTACCTTTCCTTAACCCGTGCAGGTCTCTAGTGCGGACTAACGCTAAATACAAAACCTAACATATCCTTTGGGGAAAAGGAAAAGCACGCCACAGACTAAAAGCGAGCCAGGCAGGTGAAGCGGAATAGTCTTGTATATAATGATAGAAAGTAGAAATGTTTTTATCGCTCTTTCAAATGACGTATAATCAATTACGGTAACTATAATCAAACGGCATTCAATTGTTGTGGTAAAGTAGACATTTAAATTTGTCATTCAATTTCATTTTTAATTCTGTTTTAAGTTGTTGAACATCTTGATCGATGCTAATACACCAAAGTGGTAAATATCTAGCATTCATCAAACTATTTCTCAGTTTACTTTAAGTGATACCTAATTATTTAACTTGTTGAGGGGCAATAATTTCAGTATAAATGTAAGAGTAACAGCAGCTGTTTTAAAAATCATTTTAATTTTATTTAATTAAAAATCATGTAACGTTCTACGTTTCGAAAATACAACTTTCATTTTCATGAACTGTAATCGTAAAACGTTTAAATAACGAGGTCTGATTGTAAAAGTTTTGGTATTGCGTCTTTATTACGAAAAAGAGCACCAACAGACTTTGATGGTCGTAAATTAATCTTTAAATCGACGTTTGGTTTTACAGTTTTAGTAAATCTTTGTAGTTTTTGACTTAAAATTCTAGATGATTGTTGAATATATGGCATATCAACTATCAATCGTTTTTTAAGTAAGTTATCTGCTTTAGCTGTCATTGTTTTAGTGTCAACTTCTATCAGATGTTTATTTATCAATTTACTAATTAGTATATCTACATATGTTCGGGGATAATCATTTAATTTACTTAAACGTCTTATTTCATTCAGTTCGTCATTCCATCGTTCATATGTTAAACAAATACGAATAGCATGAACAACGTAAGGTTTATTGACTAAATGGACGTTCTATGTTCCATTTAGCTACAAAAGCAGCTGCATAAGTAGCATGGTAGTTTGTACTATTCGTATCTGAAGAAAGATCTGACTTTTATTTCAAAGAAGGTTGACAAACTTAATATGTGGCGCGAGTGATTGCGGGAGTCGAAGCAGGTTTGTAGAATGTTAAACATTTTGCAATGAAAGAACAAGTTATTACTATTTCGTTAAGTCTACTAAAGATATTTCAGCTGAATTAATCGAATCAATCAAAAAATTAGTATTAGATAAACAAATTGATAATAACTCAGTAGAATTATTTCTTGAAAGTGAAAGAACGCTCTATGTAAGAGATTAGCCGAAGCGTCTTCACACTCAATGAGGCTAATTGTATATATATATATATATATGAGAGATATACTAGGATTGAAACTGGGGAAATATTTGATAAATGTATTGAAATTGATTGCGGATAAATCTCGTTCTATTACAAACACCAAATATCTAACTGAATCTGTAGTACATAACATGCATAGTTCGCTGCCTTCATGCGTGTTGTGGAAGATGGTTTTAACCATGATTAAGGGTTATAGTTCAGCTTAGATACATATCTTGCATATACTGTTTCGGCAATTGTATCAATATATCGATTTTTATAACGTTTGTTTTTCGAATATTCAAAGTTTATGTGCATCTATGCACATAAACTTTATGATATCAGTATACGGATATCATAAATGCATTTAGATAGCGACAAATGGAATCGAAACGGTAGTTTTCTATTCCTCTCAAAAGAAATTCTCAAATCTGGCCAAATTCGACTCGATTTTTCCATCCCCATGTGTATGATTGATCAGTGGCTTTGATACTCATATTTACCAAAGTTTCATACAAAATTTGCTCTTTTCTGGTGCATGCATTGATTGTCCATTGCTTTCCTTAAACGAAGAGCACGCGTACGACATAAAACTATTACTATATGCAAAACAAATCATTTTTGCACAGATCCTATTGATCTAAAATCACTGCTATTCGACATTGTCAGTCCTTCGAATAATTCTATTTGGCAGTTTCGTTGACTGAAGTTGAGACTTGTAACAAATCTAAAATGTCAGAACATATTTCTCACTTTACAGTCCCATCTATACAAAGTACGATATACCTCGATGTACTTGGGCACATGACTCTATGTCTTGTGTTTCGTCTAGGAACCAGTGCAGTCGCAGTCGATCTATCAAGTACCCACTTTTTCCACTTATATAACCCATTGAATACCCTTGAAAGCTCTCATCAAAAATTGCACCATTTCTAGTACCGTAAAACTGACTTGATTGATTTTGATTCGTGTAAAATTGTAGTCCAACAACAACATAGTGCTCTCTTGAAAGTCGAGCATTGGCTGTAACTACAGTTACTCGAATAATTCTCTCCTCTTTCTTCAAATCATATGTACCGTTGTAACAGGCGACTAATTTTCCACCATCAAGATAACATTCATCAGCGAAGCCATGCAGACGCGATTCATGGGTATTTCCCAAAGAATTCTCATATAGAATTTGAATTCCTTGAAACCACTGATGCCAACGAGTTATGATTTTTACCGGTCGATACAATTTGCCGTGAAGATCGATAAATTTTGAATCATTAAATGTACCTCCACCTTGTCCACCGTACTCCTTACCGTTCAATATTAGTGGAGCACCTTAGAGAGCAAAAAGAGCACAAGTGCAGTTCTGTCAATCCATATAATAGAAAATGTTCAACAGTTTAAGCTGTATTCTTGTGAATTTGTTACTATTTTCTTATATAAGATGTTGCACGAAAATGGTAGTAATTCTAGTCATTCTTATCACTTTCTTACCGAAATTTCACGATACCAAATGGTCGTGCAGTCGGTTGCTTTTTGAATAACTCCTCGCGGGAGATAGATAATGAAGTGCGGTTTTCAGCATTAGAAAGAGGACACTTTAAGACATCTTTTCATAAG